AGTTACTGTGTCCAGCAAGTGGGACATAAATTAATATTTAAATGTTTATTATTACTGTCATGTACGATGCCATCTTGCTGATCGTGGTTTTTGAAGCCTTTTATGGACAAATGATGAAATTAAGTTTCTTTTCATGCAAATAATCTTTTCCATGGATGTACTATGCCAACATGGAATGTTTGGCTTGTTTAACATTAGCACACAAAAGGAATAGATTGTCATTTTGTTTGAGCAAGGCTTTCTTCGCCTCTTGTCTCTGTCAACATTATGTTTTATGTTAATTACTTGTTAAATATCTTCATGTTAGAATTGTAAAGCTCTGTGGAAAATATGAATGTTAATATAATATGCTAGATGTTAATATAATAAATGTAAGATCCTTGTTTTCCTACAGAGCACCACAGTTATGGAATGACCTCACAGTCAACTCGTCATTCAATCTAAAATCCTTTAAGAGATCTATGGCAACATGCCTCGATACACAACGCACCAGTCATGGTTGACTATATTTATTATCTGTTATGTGTAAAATTGATATATATATATATATATATATATATATATGTATATATATATAAAAAACACAGTATCCTCCTGCACTCACGCTTAAAAGTCCCTTTAGAAGTTGGGTGCTAGCATGCCATGGCTAGTATTATCCAGTTGTCCAAAATATGCAGCAGCACTCACGGATTAAAAGTCCAAAATGTATTAATACAAAAATGTAAAAGACGATCAACGTTTCAGTCCTGCATAGAGGACTTTCATCAGGATCAAACACCTGGTCCTCTATGCAGGACTGAAACGTTGATCGTCTTTTACATTTTTGTATTAATACATTTTGGACTTTTAATCCGTGAGTGCTGCTGCATATTTTGGACAACTGGATAATACTAGCCAAATGTGTGCAAAAAATAGCTGGTTTATTGCACGTGGGATTTTTCTTCTGGTAGTGATCAGGAGTATTATTTATTTATTTATTTGTAAAATATTTTACCAGGAAAGATACATTGAGATTTCTTGCATTTCAAGTATGTCATGGGTCCACAAATCATTGCATTGTTACATTAGGGTACAATAAAATACAAAAACAATATTAATACACAATAAATACAAAATCTAACATAGAACAGGTAGGAAATATATAATCAACCATGACAGGTGCATTCTGTTTTGAGGTATGTAGAGAGGGATCTCTTAAAGGACTTTAGGCTTAGGGAAGATTTTAAATTGTGCGGGAGGACGTTCCACAATTGCGGTGCTCTGTAGGAGAAGGAGGATCGGGCTGCTTGCTTTTTGTATTGAGGTAGACTAAGTAAAGTACTGGATCGGAGGTTATAGGAAGTGGGAACAGCCGGGGAAAACATTTTGTTCAGGTAGGGTGGGAATTTCCCAGAAAAGCTCTTAAACACAAGGCTGGAAAGATGAAGGGTGTGTCTTGATTCCAGCAACAGGCAGTTTAGTTCTTTTAGCATGTCACAATGGTGGGTCCTGTAATTACATTGTAGCACAAATCGGCAGAACGAGTTATACAATGTGTTGAGTAAGAGAATGGAGTGTGTAAAATTGGGAAACGAAAACAATGAGAGGTACAAATAATGAGTGCACACACACAGGTAGAGCTACATTTCACAAAGTAGTAAGTTCACTGATCTCCGATTGGTGGTTGTCTGTGGATCCATGATTACATACAGAAACTGCTTTCATTTAATTTATACTTCATTAGAAAGTACAGAGTACAGTCAACATTCTATATTGTCTGGCTGCTGTTCAAATTCTGTCAAATCTTAAACTTATCAAAGAGCTAAATATATCGCGCAAAATCGATTTGTGCACTTTATTGTGTTATAAATGCCTCGTCACTATTTATATTTGTTGTTTTGTTTATTTCTGGGCTTAATTTTGTAGTAAATGTAATTTTATTGCTATTAGTGTGGTGTGTATCCGTATATTATTAATAATAATATAGAATAGTAATGTTTTTGATCACATGCTGGTGTTTGCTATAACTTATGTTCTGAAAGATGCTTTGTCTGTAAGAGCATTAAGTCACTGACTTCATCAAATCCGCATCCCAAATGATTTGTTCATATTGTTTTCAGATTTAAAAAAAAACATTAAAAACATTAAAAAACTTGTAAACAAAATCATTAAAAATTATTTCACTTTTTAGATTTCTGTAAAACACCATTAGAATTTCAAGTATAAAATTATATGAAATAATATGATAACTAGTCACACAGATGATGAAGTTATATAGTCACACAGAGTATTGAAAGATGCAAAATAAATCTTTATTGGTGTAAATCAGTAACAAAATTGCATTATTAAAGTGTGTAATAATCTGGTTCTTCAATAAACGGGTGAAGAGAGAGATAAGAAATAGGAAAATGTTGGATGCATAAATTTGTTCTAAGAGCACAGTGGTAACCAGTAGTATTAAAAATTGCCAATAAATTATAAAACCTATTCTTGTATTGTGATTCTAATGTGTACAATAATGAATAAATTCCAATGGTCAAACATCTACACCTCGTGGTATCTGCTATGAAATACCAGCCTTTGTTTATCATTGTTATTTTGTATAAAGAGGGTGGATCTATACACCTTCACCAGAACTGTGTATGTCTATGGGAGGAGATAAATACAGCTATTGGACTGTATGTAATGAAGAGGGTGAGGTGAAGACAGAAAATGATTCTCACCAGTTCTTTCTTCTTCATACATTCCATCAGAACAATGAAAAGTTGGTGCGATTGATTCCGGCTATAATTGAATGTTTTCTGGATGGTAACGAGGAGTTGATCGCGGAGAGATTCACTGATTATCCTACAAAATGCATGGCAAACAATATATAGCATGAGTGAGAAATGGTTGGTCTGTCTTTCTATAACTTATGGATCACAAACACATAACACGGGCCAAAAATAGTGTAGTCTGGTTTTTCCAATCTCCTTTTGTTGTCAGTCTCACAGGGGAGATTTGGTAAATATGACAAACTCGTTAAAGACACTCCAGGCACCCAGACCACTTCTGCCCATTGGAGTAGTCTGGGTGCCAACTCCCACCACCATTAATCCTGCAAGTGTAGTTATTGCTGTTTTTATAAACTGCAATAATTACCTTGCAGGGTAAAGTCTTTCTCTAGTGGCTGTCTATCAGACAGCCACTTGAGGGACTTCCGTGTTCTTAGAACACGGAAAGTTTTTTAAATGAAGCTGGACGTCCTCACGCTATGCATGCTACCTCCATCTTTGTCGAAATCCCCATAGGAAAGCATTGAATAATGCTTTCCTGTGGGGAGGTTACATGCGCGCACGGGCATTGCCGCGCATGTGCGTTAGGTCTCCCCCGCCGGCTGACGGCGGAGGGGGAGTGTGGGCGGAGCCTGACTCTGTGCCGAGGGACATCGGAGCTGGATTCAGGTAAGTCACTGAAATGGTTTAAACCACTTCAGCAACATGGGATGGGGGGTGGGAGGGAGAGGTGCACTGCAGATTCCTGAAGTGCCAGGAAAACGGATATGTTTTCCTGGCACTGGAGAGTCTCTTTAAGTCTAGTTTGTTGGTTTAGCTTTTTGAAAGTGTTTATTTTTTCTTTATAAATGTGTACACAGTGTTATATCGGGAAAGTCCATGCAAGTGTTATATTGGTTTGTACAATTATTCTTACCACAGTGTTTAGATTGAAGGTGTTCAATCACAGTTTAATCTTACGGAAACCAGGAATTGTAATTTAGCTTTTTTAATGTAGTATCTTTTCTTATGCATTAACAGAATACACTTACTGTCTTCAGATATAGATATAGAATAATACACATGAAAATATATATTTATATATATATAACTGCACAAAGTAAAGTTAGCAAGTTTGATTTTTTTGCACAGGGGACATTTATCATGGTAAAACAAGCAGTGTTTTGGGTGCAAGGTGCTAAATGTTGAGAGACACTCTATTGTTTCCATGGTAATGTCTCTGCATTTAGCACTTTGAAAAGCACCTGTTTGTACCTTGATAAATCTTCCTCATTGAACAAATCTTTGAAAAGGATTCCTGATTTGTGCATCACTTCATAAGTATTGCTAAGACTATAGTTTTCTAAGGTGACATTTGTTAAAAAAAAAAAAAGTAAATGAACGATTTAGCCATGTTTTTGTAATTGTATGTATATGTATATACTTAAGAGTAAAACTGTAATCATAAAAATATGGTGAATGGATCACGTAAGACATTTCTTAAAGTCAAGTAAGACATAAATATACAGTAGGAATAATTATTTAGTGGGTATAAAATAATCAGCAAGCTCTGACACTAGTAGATGGGCAAATGTTTTACATTTAAAAATAAGAGAATATCTCTGTTCTTGCAACAAGTGGTGATATATTTATATTAATAATTTGAATTATCTGTCTATCTGTCTATATTTATTTATATAATTCAAATTATTAATATAAAAATAATTTAAAAAATATAGGGTTTTCACAGCAAGTGAGAAAATGGATGAAAAGACAGAGAGCAGTCCTCACTTTTCACTCATGTTAAGATTAAGATTTAGTCTCACCCAGCTTCCTCTGAGTACTTGTGGGCAAAAGATAGGATGTCAGAAGCGCGTCCACTTCCATCACAAACCACCACAGGAATGGGAGGTTCTTCACGTAAACATTCTAGAACTATTGAAATCACGTTGGGACCTCCTTCAACGATCAGGGCAACTACTGGCACTCCTTGCCCTAGTCCTGTGGTGGAGACATGGACATCCCAACAATAAGTTTCCTGTGTTTATCTGTGGATTTAAATCCATGCTACAGCTACAATGTGGACACCTCTGTTCTGGAAAGTAGCAGGTTTTTATAAACAGTAAAAAAAAATGTCAATGTCCACAATTAGATTTTTTTATTCTACCTGAATGGAAGTCAGAAATTAATTCCAGATCTTCTAAACTGATTAGGGGACAGCATCAATACTGTAACCTTTCTAAAACATTTTCCATTGGTGCGACCGGTGTAGGAGATGACAATTGAGCATCCCTTTGCTGTCCCTGCCTCTCCATTATTCCCAGGCATAGGATGACAAAGGGAATCCCATGTGCCATATCATTGTCCTCCAAGTCAAGGAAACCACAAATATATAGTTAAAAACAGATCTTCCCATGCCTCCCAACATGTCATATGTATAAAAAGGAATACTTTCATTTTAGGGTTTTGAGTGAAGTGTGGCCAGAGGTGAGACTGCTGTTCTTAGAAATTTTAGGTGATTTATTACTAAAACTTTATGCAACTACAATATAATTTAGAATAAGAACAATGTATCTTATTTACACACGTGATTTGTAAATACATTTATTGTAGTTTACAGATACATTACAGTGAGTATTATTGCTGTGGAGCTCTGTTAAACATTCAGACACCCTAGCAATATGGAGCTTTTAGAAAAAAGAAGCATTGGGATAGAAATGAGGGAAAGATGAATTTGGGCCCAAATAGGAATTGCATCTCCTAAGCAGGGACACTTGGGAAGTATACGTCCCTCTTTCACTCTTTCCTTCTCTACAAGCAAAAACACACACATATATATAAGAATAAAATGTAAGAGGTTAGACAATTCCTGTAGTTTTAGATGTCAACATTTGAGATCATATATGTGTTAAGAGGTTTGTCCATTAACTGGAAATATATGAAATAAATTTTTTTTCATTATTATTTAAAATGGCCACTATAGTTACCAAAACAACTTTAGCTTAATGAAGCAGTTTTGGTGTATAGGTCATGTCCCTGCAATCACACTGCTCAATTCTCTGCCATTTAGGAGTTAAATCCCTTTGTTTATGAATCCTAGTCACACCTCCCTGCATGTGACTTGCACAGCCTCCCTAAACACATCCTGTAAGGAGTAATCTAATGTTTACACTTCCTTTATTGCAAGTTCTGTTTAATTTACATTTTCTTATCCCCTGCTATGTTAATAGCTTTTTAGACCCTGCAAGAGCCTCTTGTATGTAAAGTTCAATTTACAGAGAAAGAGAACCAATTGTTTAAGATAAATTACATCTGATTGAAAGTGAAACCAGTTTTTTTTTTCATGCAGGCTGTGTCAATCAAAGCCAGGGGAGGTGTGGCAAGGGCTGCATAAACAGAATCAAAGTGATTTAACTCCTAAATGACAGTGAATTGAGCAGTGAAACCTGAGAGGCATGATCTAAACTGCTTCATTAAAGGGACACTGTAGTCACTATAACCACTTTGTCTCTTTGAATTGGGTATAGTGCCTGGAGTGCCCTGGCACTGTCCCTCCATTCAGTGTTGCACCATGTTCGTGCAGTTTGCCACAAAATAAGAGTCCCTGGCCACCCACAGTCCGGCCCCTTCTGTATGTGTAGCTAAGGCAGAGATTACATACTTCCTTGTTGTCATACCCATTCATACCGTCAGTTGGAGCTCTGACAGGTTAAAAGCAGTCAGCTGACACACTCAGCCAATCACAGCTGCCCATTGCCTCTCAGGGTAATACTTCCTTATTAGCCAAAGCAGCACGGAGGGGATGGACTGCCGTGGACTCTTGTTTAGCATTAAAACATTAAAAACTGTTTAATGCTGAAAGAAATGATGGTACCAGGGGACTCCAGACAATATAACCAGTTTAATGAGATGAAGCAAATACAGTGCCTACGGTGTCCCTTTAAGCTAAAGTTGTTTAGGTGACTACAGTGTCCCTTCAATAATCTAGCCCCAGCCATTTTTTCTGTCTTTCACAAACGTTCTACTCTTTCACATTACCCCTGATCTTCAATACCTTTTTTCATTTGCTGTGGCTTTGCTAACAACTCTAGATTTTAATAAATGTATTTATTTATTTATTTTTTATCTCAAGTAACATGTTTTGTCAGTGTCTGCTGTCATCACCATTGCTTTTGTTTATGTAACAAGACATTGACGTTTATTACTTTTGATAACTGATATAAGCAAATCACAAAAATAATCTGAAACAGCTACAAATTTGTAAACTTAAACCCATAATCTGCTAAATATCTGAACATTTACCAGTTAGGCCTTGATTACAGGGCCACATAAGGGCCAAACCTGCCACATATATACAGCAATGAATATGCTTATATCAGAATGCCGACAAACAATACTTTTTTAGTTTGAAAAGTTTAAAACAAAACATATAGTTTGTGTACATCGGTGTAAATAACTACAAAACATACAAAATGTGGTGAGAATTTTTAACAAATGTATACATAGTTTAAAGTTCATTTTGTTATCCTAGAAATGAATTTAAAATAATAAAGCAACATTTATAAATAAGGTTCTACAAGGGAATGAGTGCGTTTTACATGATTAATTTAGTCATTCTTTCTTTTGATCAATAGATTTGTTTGACATTTTGATAACACAGAATATACATAGATTGTTATATGCTTCATTCACGCTGTAAACATTTTAACTTGTTATAAAAACACTATGAAGAAAGTTCCACAATTATAACTTTGGACATAGAACATGATATGGCATTCCCAGTACTCGTCACATATAATATATTCACAATATAAAACTACGTTTCTCGTTTCTGAAATGTAACAGATTTGAGTCCTGTATATAAAAAAAGTTAATCCGCAGAAATAAACATACAGAAATGAGGATACACAGACACAAACCCACACTAAGGTTATCTAGAGCTTCCAATTTTCAGATTCAGCCTTGCTCAAAAATACATTAAAATTCTCAGAAATGTAGTCCCACTCTGTTCTGGCCTTTTGGCTAAATACATTAACATGACAGTTCATGTGCAATAGGTTCACATTTATTAATATGGTCTGTATAGGTTTTCTGGTCATTCCAAACTGTCACAGATTGTAGATAAGAGCATACGTGGTCCTTGTGCTATTTTTATTCTGGATCAAATAACTTGAGCCCTATTTCACAGTACATATGTAAAGCCTTTTAATCTTATTTTTTTTAACAGAGACCGATTTCGGAATAGCAAGAATTATGGATTTAGAAGGCACACACTATAGCTACATATTTTCAGTTCATGTCATGTTATATTGCTTAATATCTACTATTAGCATCTCAAATATTTAGAATACAAAAATATATTCTAAAATAATTTATCCTAAAAATAACTCGCTTTATTTCTTTCTGAGTTACACAGTTATACACTTTGTATAAAGAGCTCCAATGGCTAGATCTCAGCTTACGGGCAGGGCTCTCTCTACCTCTTGTATTTGTCTGTGTGTATTGTACGTTCTCCACTAATTGTACAGCGCTGCAGAATCTGTTGGCGCTTTATAAATACCAGTAATAAATAAATAAACATGAAGGTCTTCTGTGTTGAATTAAATAAAATTTTACTCACGTGTATTAATTTTCTGCAGAGATATATGTTTCTCTAGTTGGCGCCGTAATTTAACTTCTGCTCCATATTTACCGAGGCTACCATTGTCCGCAAGGATGAAGTGTGTGTGGGTGTTGTTTAGCACAGAGAGTTTACTCAAGGGGTTAGACATTGTCTGATAAGGTTTTGTTACCTAATGGACAAAACAATAGAAAATACATTAACTATGAGTGAGAGGACAAAAAAAAAAAAATAACAAGTGATTTATGTCTTAACAATTATTTATATCACCACGGAATATGGTAGTGACTGACAGATATTTCTGGATTTTAAACAATGCTCTGAAAGTGAGAATATTTTTTTGTAGAAAGTCCCTTTCCAGTAAATTACTTTGAAGAGTGAGATAAAGAATAAATGTGCCTTGACATTGCTCCCAAGTTGCCTTAAATTTTCACAACTCAGATGGAAAGCAAATGTTATATAAACAAACAAAATAACGTTATAATAACCAGCTTGGACTTAAAGGGTTACTCTAACTACCATAACTACTTGTGCTTTTAGAAGTCATCAAGGTGGCATGAATCTGTATGTGCAGCGTTTATGTTTGAAAAGCTGCACACACAGAGATATTTGCAGTTTTTCACCGTGACTTAGTCAGCCCAGAGCTAACATTTATTTTGTGCAAATAATACGTCTGTCGTTAGTACGCACTGTGTACTGGCGACAGATGTAGTGAGCTTCTACCCTAGCAGCCAATACTATAAGTATGCCTGCAAGAGGAAGCTTTGATTTCCCCTCCCTGCTATAATCACTTTTAGTCTTCCGTGCCTCCCTCCATTTCTCTTTTTTATTACCCCTAACTCCCTCTCTCCCCTTCCTGGCTTAGAGAGCGTGCATGCACTTTGAGCCAGGGAAAATGGTCCAATTAAATGCTTCTTGTTGAGAAGGCAGCAGTGATGTTGGACGGGGCATGAAAAGCAGCGAGGGGAGCTTCTCCCTGCACTGGATTTGAAGTAAGTTATTGCTTTATTCTGCTGGTGTTTAAATTGGGAATCTAATAGTAATGTCCCATAGGGCAAAAATACATTCAGCTAAAATGTGTTGGAGTAACCATTTACATTGCAATGCCTGCACATTCTGAGATATTGGTACAGAAATTGTTTGAGGGTCAGTAATACAGAAAGCACATGACTCTGCAGTGTTTCAGTTTGATTGTGGTACATAACACGTGTCTTACATCTCTCCCAATAAGGTCTTCTTTATTTTCTACAATACCCCATGGCGCAATTCCTATGGCACATATACGTCCTCTGGACTTGGAAGAATGATCTTTCAAGGCATCTCCCACATGGCGAATAACACCTGCAAAACCAAACGTTCCGACAATCATGGTTTACTACAATAAATGTTATGTTAGTCTTGATTTTACATCATCGTGTAGTATAGCTAAACTAAACAATCCATTGCAAACACTATAGACCTGAACAACAGTCGTATGTAGATAATGGTTCAAGACTCTCTGATGCATCTTCTCTGACATTATGACTGTAAGAGCCTTATGGCAGGTCTGAAGTGCCAAAGGTTGCCTACCCCTTGTTGTATAGTATGCTGTCTTGTGGTCAAAACTCCAGGGAAATATAGCTCAGAGGACAGGTCTGCAACTACAGAATTACAGAGTCAGAGGTTCAGATCCTATCTGAGTAAAAATTAAGCCTTTAATTCTTCCAAGGTTTATTATAAGGTAACATTAATGTGATAAGTTATGAACTTT